ACTCTCCTCCCCGCCTCTCCTTCCCGACTTCTCTCCCCGAGTCTCCTCCCAGACTCTCCTCCCCGACTCTCCTCCCCGACTCTCTTCCCCGACTCTCCTCCCCGAATCTCTCCTCTGGGGCTGTCTAGTGTTCCTTGTCAGAGAACACTTGGATCGTCATCCAAGTGTTCCCCGGTGAGAAAAGCACTTGGATCGTGATCCAAGTGTTCTGGGATTCTGAATTCAGACATTTTCGTGGCCCCCTACGGAGCTCCACCTCATGTCCCAAGTGGCGCAGTGCGCATGGCGGCACCGCCCCATTTTGGCACACCCCCCTCACACGCTTCGCGGCCCCATAGAGAGCTCCACCCGAGGTTCCAGTGGCACAGTCCGCAGGGCGGCGCCGTCCCATCTTGGCACACCCCCCTCGCACGCTTCGCGGCCCCATAGAGAGCTCCACCCGAGGTTCCAGTGGCGCAGTCCGCAGGGCGGCGCCGTCCCATCTTGGCACACCCCTCGCACGCTCCGTGGCCCCATAGAGGGCTCCACCCGAGGTTCCAGTGGCGCAGTCCGCAGGGCGGCGCCGTCCTATCTTGGCACACCGCGCACACGCTGCGTGACCACAAGAGGGAGCTCCACCTCAGGGTCCCAGTGGCGCCGTCCGCATGGAGGCGCCGCCCCATTGTTGGCCTGCTCTTCACGCGCTTCGGGGCCCTTATACGGAGATCCACCGAGCGCGGTACGAACAACGACGGCATTCACAATTGCAGATGGTGCCAGGCGAATTGTCTCTGCCCCCCCCGCAGGATCTCCTCCTCCTCCTCCTCCTCCTCCTCCTCCTCCTCCTCCTCCTCCTCCTCCTCCTCCTCCCCCTCCTGCTCCTCCCCATTCTCCTCCTCGCTCACACACTCACGCACACACACACACACACACACTCATAAGCATCATTCTGGCCGCCACTACCACCACCATCACCATCGCCATCATCACCACCACCACCACCATCATCATCATCATCATCAGCAGCAGCAGCAACATCATCATCATGATCGTCATAATCAGCATACTCAGCATCAGCATCATCAACATCAGCATCATTATCAGCATCGCCACCGCAATCATATTCGTCTCAACCACCACCACCACCAGCATCATCGTCGTCAGCATCATCAGAACAATCAGCATCGTCACCATCATGAGCACCATCAGCATCTTCATCATCATCATCAGCATCGCCATCATGATCATCATCAACATCATCATCATCACGATCGCAAACCCAATCATCATCCCTGTCATACTGATCATCATCATGTTAACCAGCATCATCATCATCATCATGCTCATGATCATCAGCAGTATCAGCAGCATCAGCTTCCTCCGCCTCATCGTCATATCATAATCAGCATCGCCAGCATCCTCATCCACATGCTCGTCCTGCGCCTCCTCCTCCTCGTCGTCGTCAGCATCCCCATCATCATCATCATCATCATCATCATCATCATCATCATCAGCATCATCATATGCGTTCTTATCATGATCACCATCATCAGCATCAGCAGCACCATAATGCATCAGAACCAGCATTCGCATCAACATCATCATCGGTGTAACCATCATCGTCATCATCGTCCTGATCCTCAGACTCAGCCTCATCCTTCTTCTCGTCCTCCTTCTCATCACCCTCTTCATCCTCATCCTCATCCTCAACGTCAACCTCATCATCATCATCATCACCATCATCATCATCATCATCATCATCATCATCATCATCATCATTGTCATCGTCATCGTCATCATCATCATCATCAGCATCATCATCATCATCATCGACAGCCTCAGCATCAGCATCAGCATCACTCGCTCAACTTCTCACTGATTCGCTCACGTACTCACTCACTCACTCACTCACTCATTCACTCACTCACTCACTCACACACCCACACTCATTCATCACTCACCCACTCATCATCATACCAGGGCTACTCTGGGACGGGGAAGTCTCGAGAAGGACGGGGACGGGGAAGTCTCGAGAAGGAGCCCCGTCCCCATAAGGACCGCAGCTCATGCCAGTAATCCGAGCGGGCCATCAAACACATGTAATTATCATTCCGTTTGGGCTCCTCAGGCCTGAATGTGGAGAAGCATCCAGCGGGAGCCTCGTCTGTGAGCGAATTGCGAGGAAGTCTCAGGCGGGAGCCCCCTCCCTATGAGGCCTGCACCTCTCTGTGAGTAATCCGCACGGTTCATCCTAAAACATGTAACCGACGTCGCTTTGGGACTGCTCAGGCCTGAAAATGGTGGAAGTTTTCAGCGGGAGCCTCGTCTGTGAGTGAATTGCGAGGAAGTCTAAGGCGGGAGCCCCCATCCGCTTCTGGCCCGCAGCTCAGTTTAGTAATCCGAGCGGGTCATCCTAAAACCTGAAACTGTCGTCACTTCTAGGGTCCTCCCTCAGGCCTGCACATGGTGGACGTATCAAGCGGGAGCCTGGTCTGTGAGTGAATTGCGAAGTCTCAGGCGGGAGCCCCCTCCCTATGAGGCCTGCACCTCCGTTAGTAATCCTCACGGGTCATACTACAACCTGTAGCTGTTGTCACTTTTGGGTCCTCAGGCCTGAATGTGGAGGAAGTATCCAGCGGAAGCCTCGTCTGTGAGTGAATCGAGAGGAGGTCTCGAGCGGGAGCTCCTTCCTTATGGGGCCCGCAGCTCAGGTTCGTAATCCGAGCGGGTCATCCTAAAACCTGTAACTGTCGTGACTGTTGGACTCCTCAGGCCTGAATATGGAGGGAAGTCCCGAACGGGAGCCTCGTCCGTGAGTGAATCGCGAAGAAATCTCGAGCGGGAGCCCGGGACTCACAGGTTACACAGGCCCCATGGTTCCAACAGGTCACACAGACCTCATAGGGCCCACCAGACCCAAAGGCACCACAAGTCACACAGGCCCCACAGGCCTCACAGTCTCACAAGTCTCACAGGTCCCACAGGTCCCGCAGGTCCCAGGCATTGCAAGTCCTTCCAAACCCGCAGGTCCTGTCCTACACGTCCTACAAGGCTCGCAAGTCCCCCCGGTCCCACGGGCCCATCAAATCCCACGGGCCGCACAGGTCCCATGGGCCCGACCGGTGTCACAGGTCCCATTGGCCCCACGGGTCCCACAAAATCCAGGGGCCTCCCACTGGTCCTACGGGGCCCGCAGATCCCCCATGTCCCACAGGTCTGACAAGCCCTACAGGCCACACAGGTAGCAAGAGCCACGCAGGTCGTACAGGTCCCACATGTCGCACAAGTCCCACAGGCCCCAGAGGTCACACATGCCACACAGGCCCCACGGGGCCCACAAGTCTCAACGGCCTCACAGGTGTGTCCTGGCGTCCTGCCATCATCATCATCATCATCATCATCATCATCATCATCATCATCATCATCATCATCATCATCATCATCATCATCAGCATCAGCATCAGCATCATCATCATCAGCATCCTCAGCATCATCATCATCATCATCATCAATATCATCATCATCATCACCACCACCATCACCATCATCATCATCATCACCATCCCCAGCATCATCATCATCATCATCATCAGCAGCAGCATCATCATCATCATCATCATCATCATCATCATCATCAATATCATCAATCTGATCATCATCATCATCAATCATCATCGTGGGCATCATCATCATCATCAGCATCATCATCATCATCATCATCATCATCATCGTCATCATCATCATCATCATCATCATCTTCATCATCACCACCACCACCATCATCATCACCATCACCATCATCATCGCCATAACCATCACCATCACCATCACCATCATCATCATCGTCAGCATCAGCATCTGCACCATCATCATCATCATCATCATCATCATCATCATCATCATCATCATCATCATCATCATCATCAACGTCATCATCATCATCATCATCATCATCATCATCATCATCATCATCATCATCATTGTCATCATAATCATTGTTACTCGTCGATGGCGATGATGAGTCCCACAGACACTGAACATGTTCTCATGCGGGTCTTTCCGTCGGAGTCATTCGTGATTCTTGTTTGAAAAACACCCAAAAAACATTTCCCGAAGTGTCTCAACAAATCGCGCTGGCCACCCTGAAGAGCGTGTAAGCTTTCAAATTCATCGGTCTTCCCGCCCCAGACGGCCACAAAATGGCCTCCAAGGCGCCCCAGAAGGACCCGTAACCTTCACCAGTCATCGGTCATCTCGCTCCCAGACGGCCAAGATAGCTGAATGTGGCCTCAACGATGCCTCCAAGGCGTTCTAGATGGCCCGAAGAGCCCACGATGGCCGCAAGATGTCTCCAAGACGGCCCCAGATGCACCCACGATGGCCCAAGGTGGCACCAAGACCCGACACGGCCCGAAGAGGCCTCCGAGAGAGCCTCCAGGAAAGCCCGAAGAGTTCTCTCATCCCCTTCTTCGCTCTCCATCAAGTGTTGCCCGAAGCGTTCCCATAACGGCGGCTGGGGGAACACATGATCCGATAGCTTGCCCGCGAGCTCTGACCACGAGGTTCGGCCACTTAAGCGCTTCCCAGGAGGCAGGGGGCGCCATTGATTTTCCGTAGGCGCCTTTGGACGCGAACTTTCGGAGCTCCTCGCGGACATCCTGGATCGGCGCTGGAATTATGTCGGGCGTGTCCTCCGACGTTCGGATTCTGGACGAGAAATGAAAGCCAATAGTCGGACAATCGTCCCCAGACTATTTTGGAGTATTCTTGAGTACTCTTCCTGTAGAGGGACATGCCCGACTTAACCCTGGGTGCTCCTCCAGCGACGCCCCTGGCGCGAGGTCCAGCGCAGGTCCAGGGAACCCGCACGGGGCTCCAACCACTCATGTCTGTGTCGTTCTTGTGCAACACACAAAGATACCGACATCGCTACTCCGCGGACCCATCCTGGGGCGACTTCTGACCCGACTTTCGAGGAGACTTCCGCCGTGGCGACGAGAGCTCCCCGTGGACGAGCAGCGCTACCGGTCTCTGCCGCCTTTGAACTGTCCCTTCGTCGGTCCTCCAGCCCCCCGGCTCGCGCCGGCGTCCAAACCCGCGGGGTCTCGCTCCGGTGGTCCTCGCCTCTGCGCAGTCTCGACCGGATCTTGGCGCAGCGCCGCGCGCGCAAGCTCGACGCCTTGCTGTGCACGTCCGGCTCGGGGAGGCTGTGCGGCTCGTTGTGGTGTCCCATGGTGGGAGGCGACGATCAGGGGCGAATATCGGCGGCGAGCCCAGGGGGGAAGTGAGAGGGGGCGGGCCTTCTCAGAAGGCTTGGAAGGAATCGGCCTTCTCAGGAGTTTTCCAAGCCCCTCCCGAAGACACAAACTAATTTTCAGAAGGCGCGAGGACTTCTGTGATGCCCCTCCGCTTTTTGAGAAGGCGTGTTCCTCCTCACTTCCACCCTAGGCACGCCGCCGAGAACAAACCAGGGGGGCGAAGCCTTCTGAGAAGGCCCGCCCCCTCTCACTTCCCGCCTGGGCTCGCCGCCGATATTCGCCCCTGTCGTCGCCTCCGACATGAGGTGGGTCAGCTTGTGGTGGAACAGGCTGTTGTCCACCAGCCCCGGCGGCGGGCGCTTCCTCCAGCCGCTCCTCGTGTCCTCCATGGCGCTCGTGAATCTGTTGTGGCATATCGACGCGTCGTCTGCGGTGTTGTAGATGCAGCGCTGCACGTACTCGGCGTTCTGCATGGCCATCTTTGTGAGCCTCTCCTGCACCTTAAGAGAGGACGGACAAGCTACATAAACGTAAACGTTCGGGAGGGTCTGGAAGATCCCTGAGAGCGGCGCTGGACACCCCTTATCTTGCGTGTGGAGCGCGCCCAGGACGGCGCCGTCAGCGGAGGGGTGTCCAACGCCGATCCAAGCGATCTGTGCATGATTATGCAAGAATGTTTCGTCTCAGAGCCTGCGAGGTGGTCTCGTGCGCGGCGATGTAGTGTGCCTGGGACTTCATGTCGTTCACGTTGTCCGTCATGGCATTGTACATGATTTGCGGGCGCCTGAGGTACCGATGCCCGATACCGCTACTCCTCCCCCGACCAAGATTTCCAGGTGGATCCAGGAAACCCAAGAAGGCCAGAAACCCAAGAAGGCGAAAACGAGGGAAGGAAGCCAGTATCGATACCAGTTCCTCCTGACTCGTAAAGCTTTTGTTCTGCAACGAGGGCCCCAAAAGTCTATAGATCCAGCCCCCGGCACTGGCTTCTCATTCCGAATCTTGGGCCGAAAACTGCACAGAAAAAACTCCGCCGTGTTTATCCCAACCCTCCTGTGTGTTGCGTCCTCGTTTTGAATTCGCAGCGCCGCGCGTCTCACTCCCTCCTCCTCGCCTCCTCCCCCTGCTCCCTCCTCTCATGTTTCTCCTCACTCTTCCCTTCGCTTCCTCATCCTCCCCTTCCCACTTCCCATCACAACGACCAACATCATCATTATCATCACACCATCGTCATTATCGTCACAATTTCGGCGCACTCCTCACACGTTTCTTGGCTCCATAGGGAGCTCCACCGAAGGTTCCAGTGGCAGGGTCCGCATGCGTACTCGGGTCCAGGTGGGCACACCCCTCACACGTTTCGTGGCCCCATAGGGAGCTCCACCGAAGGCTCCAGATGCAGGGTCCGCATGCGTTCTCGGGTCCATTTGGGCAGGTAGCTCCACCGAAGGCTCCGATGGCAGGGTCCGCATGCGTACTCAGCTCTATTTGGGCACACCCCTCACACGTTTCGTGGCCCCACAGGGAGCTCCACCGAAGGCTCCAGTGGCAGGGTCCGCATGCGTACTCGGGTCCACTTCGGCGCGCTCCTCGCACCCCAACGAGCTGTGCATCGAGCGGTCCTGTTGGTAGTTCGCACGCACGCAGAAGGGGTTGGCTTCTTCGCCCAGGTAGCTTTCACGGCGGAGCGGTGTCGGTGATACACGTCGGTCGGAAAAAGTAGGTAAAAACATGAAGTAGGAAGCCGGATTAAGTTGATTGGGTCCAGGCCCCCCAGGGGGATTAACAAAACACAGCAAAAGCGTGTCGATTCTTGAAGTAGGAAGGCGCTTGAAGCAGATTGGGAGCCGGGAATCCAAGAATACCTACTCTCAACGACCGGCGTGTACCCTCCCCCTCGCCCCCTGGGCCTCCCGCTGCGGCTGGCCCCTCTCGAGGCGCCCTCCACGGAGGCGTGCTCGTCCTGGCGCAGCACCGACGCCCGGATGCTGCGCACCGCGTCCAGCACCTTCCAGCTCGCCGCGTCGCCCTCCTCGCCCGGGCCCCGGAGCGAGGACAGGCTCCGCCTCGGGGCGGCGAGGTGCGCGCCGCTCCCCCGAGATCCAGGCGGCGCAACTTCTCCGGAGCGGGCGATCGCGGGTCGATGCGGCTCGAAAAGGTGCAGCAGGAAGGTGCGGTCTGGAGCTTCGGTTGGGATGTCTGGCGAGGTCGGATGCTTTCGCGGGGCCCGAGGACGGCCCAACAGGGCTCCAAGATGGTCGGAGACGCCCCGTAAAAATGTGGCACAACGTCAAATGGACAACACGGGAACCGGCATGAGGCGCCTCGAGGCGGCTTGAGGCGCAAGAACGGACAACATTGAGATCGAATGAGCACAGTGCGCCGTGCAGGCAGGCATCCTCTTCCGTGCTCCTCTCGACCTCGCGAGTCACGCCCACTTGCCCTCCAAGGTCGGGGCGCGTGGCAAGACCAGGCTTTCGCAGAACGGCAGATCTCAGAGCCCCCCAAAACCCGTGGGCAGGCCAGGCCCACCCTGGGCCCACGAGCGGTGCCCAGGGCCTCCTCCCCAGTGGCCAGGCCAGGGAGGCCAGTGTGCACCGCCCCCTGGGCCTGGGCCTGGCCTCGGGGCCGGCCTCGGAGCCCTCCCGGGGGGTCCAGAACAGCACCAGTTCCCCGAGCTGCGTCCCGCCGCGGCGACGAGGGAGCCCCCCCGAAGGCCAACCGCCGTCGTCTCCGCTGCCCCTCCTCCTGGGGCCCTGGGGTGGATCTGCGCAAACTTCGTCGCCCGGCGCCTGGAGATGCTGCCAGACACCGTGGAGATGCTGCCATGGCACGGGCGTTGCGTAATGGGGGGGCGATGCTTGGGGGGAGAAACGTACTCTTTTCGTACCTCTCTGGGAGACAGAAGGTGTTCCTTTCTTGACCCTCCATGCAACCTTTAAGGGTCTTTAGACTCCCCACCCCAATCGTGGAAACTGATTATCTTTTCGACGCCCTTATTGACGGCCTGGGGTCCCACAAATCGTGGACAACCATTACTCCTCCGCGGCACGCGCCCCACCCTCCGTCTCCTCCTCCTCCTCCTCTTCCTCCTCCTCCTCCTCTTCCTCCTCCTCTTCCTCCTCCTCTTCCTCCTCCTCCTCCCCTCCTCCTTCCTCCTCCTCCCCCCTCCTCCCTCGTCCTCGTCCTCCTCCTCCTCCTCCTCCTCCTGTTCCTGTTCATCCTCCTTTCCTCCTCCTCCTCCTCCTCCTCCTCCTCCTCCTCCTCCTCCTCTTCCTCTGCGTCCTTAGGACTGAGGCGAGGAGGAACAGGAGGACGAGGGCGTATCGGCCTGGAGGCCACGCCAAGCGCGGCGCACATGGCGCCCGCGAGGCACTACCAGCGCGCCTCCCGCCCCGCCTGCCAGGACTCCAGCAGCATCGGCAACGAGACTCCTACGGGCCCATGTGGGCCTATGCCTTCACACCTGGAGGCCCATTCCCTGCAGCCTCCGCAGCTCGAGGCTCACTGTCACATGCAGGCATACCGCAGGCTGGTACACGCAGCCTGTCGAGGGCGCACCGCCGTGGACGACATCGTACCCATCTCTTCCCAGAGGGACGCCCGGCCTGCCGTGGAGATTCGCCGCCCTTGGCACTCGCCCTCGGGCGGCAGGGCGTGGCAGCCCGAGATCCCGCCCGGCTGTTTGGCCGCAGCCCCTACGCCGAGAAGCACGGGCCAGAGAGCGCTGGCAGCGTGGGCATGCTCAGACCAGAAGCGCCTGGTTTCGTCCCCGCTCCATCTCGGCAGCTCAGATGGCGTCCGCGCTCCAGCTTCAGGGGGGCCTTTGCGTTACCGCCGTGCATCCCGTCTGCCGATGTGCTCTGCCAGGCTGGCTCGCACTTCTGCCACGCCCAGGGCACCTTCGAGATGAACCGCCTGGACGGTCACTGGACCGAGCCCCCGTGAGCGCTCCAGCCCGGAGAGGACCCAGCCTCAGGCAAAAAAAGAGAAAAGATGGGACCCCCCCCTCGGGACCCCCTCGGCGGCACTCCCCACCTAGCCCTTCGGGCTATGTCGCCGAGAACCCCGTTCCTCTCACCACGGCTTGACCAGCTCCGGAAGTCTGACCCCAAGAAGGCGACGACGCTGGGCCAGACCACCGAACTCGAGCCCGAAGGGCCGTCACTGGAGCACTACCGAGTTCGAGCAATGGGGCCACGTGAGCCACCGCTCCGAGGGAGGACGGGCCCAGAGCGCTCGAAGCACAGCGCCCGATTCGACCTCCAAAGGGACCACCCGTGAGAGGCCCTCTCCCAACCTACCCCTTTCTCCGTTCCTCGTCCTTCTCCTTCTTGCTCTTGTGGTTCGAGGAGGGATGGGGTTGGAGTACCATTGGGCAGGGAGGGGCGCATGCAGCGTGCGGCGACAGCGCCACCGCCAGAATCGTTCCACTCTTAGGGTGCTCTCCCTCTGGCCACCCGCGTTCACCACTGTCGTGCCCCATCCTCTGCTGTTACGCCCCAGGCGCATTCGCCTCCTTTACCTCCCCCTGCTACTCGCCAACGCCCTGCACCTCAACTTCTGATGGGCTTGCGTGCTGAACCCGAGAAGAACGCGACAAAAACACGCTGTGGGCACCAAACAGAGAGTCCACTCCTCGGCCGCACTGTGCTGGGGAAAGCGGGAGGTGACTGGGGCGAACAGCCGAACCCCAGACGAGCGCGAGTATAGCAGGTGCCGCGGCGGCTCTTGGCACCGTTTTTCCTGCAGCCACCCATCCTGACTCTTCATCCTTCCCTTAGATCTTCTTTCCCTCCCCCCCTCACCCTCGCAGGATGCGTCATTTCTCCTCCCGTGCGAGGAACTTCACCGCCGCGCGTGTAATCTCAACACAACACATACACCCCAGCTGCCCCTACGGGGTTGTGCCGCGGCGCGTGGCCGACGCACGCAGCAATTCAACCGCACGGACGGACATTTCACCCGACAAGTGGCCCGCCGATGATCGGCGCTGTCGCCTGATGTGTCTGAAATGCGCGCTTGCCCGGCTTACAGTCGGGGCCAAGAAGAAGGAACCCTTTTCGTTGGGCAGCGGCTCCGTGTTCCTCAATTGTGTCGCAGCTTGCCTCGGATGTTCCTCAGGTTCTCGAGGCGAGATCGAAGTCTAACTCCTGGAGAATGGGGGCCCCGTTCCTTCTCGAGGGTTCCTCAGGCCAACGCCTCGACTGTACCCCCCCCCTCCCCCTCCCTCCAGCGCTCTGCACGCAAGACGCCCAGGGAGGCGAGAGCTCGGCCTCCGCTCCGGCCGCCCCCGCGGCCCCTGCTGGTGCGGCGGCCCGCGACAGCAGAGCTCGGGCCGGCCAATGGTGCACTCCTTTTTTCTTTTTCTTCCCGCATCACGTTTTGGAGGGTTCTCCCACGGGGGGGGGGGTCTGAAATGGCTTGTCTTGGAGGGCCCAGAGCCCCTCCCTTTTATTACGAAATCTGGATTCCTCCCCCCCGACCCCTGCAGCCGCGTCGGGCACGAGGTCGCGTGCCGACTCGTGGGCGCCAGGGCCACGCAGAGCGACAGGCGGCGGCGACGCCTGCCTCTCCGCCGCCGCTCCGTTCGTGGGGCCCCTTTTTTTTCCTGCTGGCAGATAACCCTGCCGATCCGGGCTGCTGACACCGACGGTCCCTCTTGAAACATTTCCCTCTCGTCCACCTCGCCGTTTACCCGTCCCTACTCTCACATCACCTCGTTCCTCCCTCCTCCTTCGCACGTCGTGCCTGTTTTTCCTTTCTGCGTCCCATGCCTTTCGTCGGGGAAGGCATCCCGCGGAATGTCTCGCCGCTACTTCTCTTTATCGTCCAGCTGTCACAGGGAGGGGAGGGACGGGAGAGAGAGGAGGGGGGCGACGAAGGATATTGACCTGTCAGGAGGTGCCATGATGGCCTCTGGGCCGGAGCGCCCCGCTTGCTTTTTCCTTTTTCACGTTCCCTTCCACCCTTTGCCCCGTGATAGGCAGGAGGGAGGACGAGGAGGAGGAGGAGGAGGATGAGGCGCATTCCCTACTTTCCCCACCGCCAGGAAGATAAGAGAGCACTGCTTCGTTTCAACCCCCTCCATCGTGATGGGCTTAGCCCTGCGGGGGAGGCAGGAGTCAGTCAGTCAGGAGGACGAGGACCAGCGCATACCCAAGACTCATCAACGATGTTAGAGCAAGAAGAAAAAGGCGGGGAAGAAGAGGAGGAGGAGGAGGAACAGGCGCCGAGAAACCAGGGGGGGAGCAAACCTAGAGAGCTTCAGAGGCGATCGCCCTCCCCACAACGTAACGCCCAAACGGCCAGACACCGACTCGGCGCCGGCGGCCCCGCCCAGCACGGCGGTGATCAGGGATCCAGCGGGCAGTGCCTCGAGCAGGCTGGGCAGCTCCTCCTCGTACACCACGGCGCCGAGGCCGGCGACGCCCGGCGACGCCTCCTCCCTGTAAGCGTCCGGGTCCTTGATGCTGACGATGGAGTGGGTGCTCAGCCTGGCGCTCTGCTGCCTGGTGCTTAGATAGGAAAAAAACGCAACAATCAGAAACTTTTGGCGCTCCGCGCGGATTTCTTGGATCCGCGCTGGACCTCCCTCCCTGGCGCGCGGCGCGCGCCAGGGGCGGCGCCGGAGGCGCAGCCCAGGGGGCCCAGCGCGGATCCAAGGAATCCGCGCGGAGCGCCAAAGTTTATGTTTCCGGTGAAGGCCACAGTCCACGAGAAACTGTCCACCAGAAACCCGACCCTGAGACCCCAGGACGTCCATGATTTCTTGGTGTGGGAGCGTCAGGCTCTCCATCGCAGAACCATCGAAACCGAAGAAACCCAGGGCACCCTGGACCAGGGGGACGTAAGACCTGGGTACAGGGGACTCGGAAATCCCCGACGAGGTCGTCAAAAAAATGACGAGGCCGAGCCTGCATTTTGACGAGGCCTCCCGCTGCAGACATCCCACGAAACTCCTCCTCGTCAAAATCCCAGGCGCGGTCGTCAAAAAACGATGGCGAACCCGAGTCCTGGCAAACCCGGGTCTTACGCTCCCCCGACTGGAGGCAAGCAGGGCATGGTTCGTTCTTCTTCGATAAGAGAAGCGAGGCACGGCATAAGCACCAAAGGTCGGAGCTCCGCGCGGACTTCCTGGGTCGGCGCTGCTTCTTCCTGGCGCGGGGAAGCAGCGCCAAGGGCGGCGCTCGGAGGAACCGCTCCTCGGGGCGCCAGCGCAGACTCGAGAACTCCGCGCGGAACTCCGAACATCAAGCCGATGTCGCCCTTTGTCCGGGCCCCCCCAAAAAAATAACCCACCACCACGTCGCTTCCTCCTCCCTCCTCTACCCTCTTACTCCTTTCCTCTTCTTGAGCAGGGACCGACCGTCCCGGCATTCCTGTAGGCCTACCACGGCGCGTTCTTAGAACCCAAACATGTTCCAAGAACAGGAACAATATCCTGAGAACATGAGCCCGATGTGTTGAAACAAGACAACCCAAGCAAGAACTGTTCCAAGAACAATTTGTGCAGACCACAAACAATTATGTTTCTATTCCTTTTGGTGGGCTTACAGGAAAGCCGGGACGCTTCGCCACTGCCCGATCCTTCCTGGGAGAGGGAGGGGGTAAGGGAGGTGGTGGTGGTGTATATGTTTCGGCCCCGTACTTTCTGCTCGGCTGCCTGGTGACCGTGCTCTTCCTGCCTCCCTCCCTGCCGCGGGGCGAGCCGGCGGAGTGGGCGCTCAGGAAGCTGGCGCGGGCGCCCTGGCTCAGCGCCACCTCGAGGCCGCCTGGCTCAGCGCCGCCGCTGGGCGAGGCCGAAGGCGAGCCTGTCCAGGACGAGGCAACGACACGCGGCAAAAGGATGTTCCCATCGTGCTTGAGTGACTACCTACCAGACCACCCCAACCCAACCCGAAGACCCGAATTTCGGGTTGGGGGGGGGGGTACGGATTCAAGATGTGTTTTCTCAGTGTTCCCCGACCCTCCCCACTGGAAATGGAGGGCAAATTGAGGCCTTCGGGTTGGATTGGGGTGGTCTGGTAAGTGGTGATTGAGAACCACATCCCGGAAATAATCTCGAGCACCCAGAAAAAAGTATCGAAACAGTGTCGGACGAGTACCAAGGGCTCGGCACGTGAAAACCCTCCAGTTTCGGTACGCTCTGGGTGCTTGGAATTCTTCTGGGTGGTCAAGAATAAAGTAGGTAAGAGCATCATAACACAGTGCTGACATAATTACGTAGAGGCCTCCTAGATGGGGTCCGACTAGGTGGGGTCGGAGGATCGCGCTGCAACGCCGATGCATCGGCGCTGCAACGCCGATGCATCGTCGCTGCCTCGGCGACGTCGGCGATGCATCGGCGACGTCGGCGTGGAGAAGCTCGGGCTCCGCATCGAGCCGCATCGCCGATGCATCCGCGATGCGGATGCGATCCTTCGACCCCATCTACTCGGACCCCATCCAGGAGGCCCAGAATGCGGCAGACTCGTGTCGTGCCGACTCCGACGTTGGTTTCTGACACCGCGGGAATCGCTCAACCTTGAACAATCAGCCGCTTCCCAAACGTTAGGTCGTTCAACATCGGCCGATTCTGGGTCGCCGGCGGCATTCCACATCGAACGCCGGCGGCGGGGTCGCCGCCGGTCGACACGATGCGAACCTACCGTAAACGTAAAACTCTGGGAGGTCCGCGCGGAGCTTCGAAAACTTTTATGCTTATGCAGCCTGCTCTTCTTCGGCATATGCAGTAGGAGCTCGACCACAAGACACCGTGCACAAGAAACCCGACCCTGAGACCCCAGGGCGTCCATGGATTCTTGGTGCGGGAACGGCACGCTCTCCACAGCAGAGCCATCGGAACCCAAGAAACCCAGGCCGCCCTGGAGGCAAGCTGGGCGTCTCTTGGCAAAGGTTTCCACTGTACCGCAGATTCGTGTCGCGCAGACGTCGACGTTGGCTCCTGACACCGCGGGAATCGTTCAACCTTGAACCATCAGCCGTGTCCCAAATGTTAGATCGTTCATCGTCGGTCAACGCGGAGCTCCAAAAATTAATGCTCATGCAGCTTGCTCTTCTTAGATATGCAGAGGCCCTGGGCCCAGAATCGGCGTGCAGCTCGAACTCGGCCGCGAGACGCCTCCACTGGAGGCCGGGGCCCTGGGGGCCGAGATCTATCTGGTAGCTCAGGGGTTCTCACGGACAGCAGACCTCGTTGGCTCCCAGAAACCCCAGGCAACATGGGAAAATACGACCGACTCGTTTTGCGCACGTCCCCAGTTCTCGCCATGCTAGCTGGGCCCAGATGAAGTGAAGGCTATACCGATGCTGAGTCCACAAGAGGCCTGGAACCAGGATCAGCGTCAGTGTAGACGGCGTCTCTCTATCCCTCCCTCCCTCCCTTTATTTGGCGGCGCGCGCAAGAGGGTAGGGGGAGGGGTGGAGGCTTCTGAGGAGGCTGCTTTACAGAAGGCGTCGGCCGTACATCTACAGACAAGACCCACCCCTTCTAAGAAGCAGGGGTGCTTCTAAGAAGCCTTCCCCCCTCCCCCTACCCCCCCTGCGCGTGGCCGACCAGGATCGATGTTCGTGTAGCTGGAGTCTCTCGATCCCTCCTTCCTTTTATCATCTTGCCCAAATCTCCGACGACTGGAGTTTCTCGAGTCACAAGACCCTGGCACTGTCGACCCTCCCCCCGAGACCAGCCTTTCCAGCCAGAGTCGGCCCTGGAAATGCCCCGGTTTTGGCCCCCGACCCCCGGGATGGCGAGGAAACCTCCGGTATGACGTGCAAGAACCTCTGCCAAGAGGTTTGGATCCCCGCCCCCCCCCTCCCTCCCGACGAGGATCCTCACGACCCCTGAACACCAGAGTGTGCTTGTCCACCGGAGCCCCTCCGTGCGACGCCTGCGGTGCGCCGAAACACGGGCTGCGCGCTCCCGTGCGGAGCTGAGCGGGTCAGAAACACGCACTGATGAACACACGCCCTGAGGATGTTCCAAAACGTCCGATGGTGTGATGATTTCAATGCGCGGCCCCGGAACTCCGGACCCTGTCGCTGGGGCAATTTTCGTCCCAGATCCGTTTCGCCCCGGATCTGGAACTGAACCCAGACGTCGCGGATTGTGTCTCAGCGGTGAAGCCTCCACTCATTCCCCGAGAGCGCCCAAGACATCCGCGCGGGTCTGGTGCTCATCGAGAAGATGACTAAATCAGCCACCTGGTGTTCGGAAGGTGTAGAGGGTGGGAAGCCAGTGCGGCGAGGACGAGGAGGAGGAGGAGGAGGAGGAGGAGGAGAATGGGGAGGAGGAGGAGGAGGAGGAGGAGGAGGAGGAGGAGAGGAGGAGGAGGAGGGAGGAGGGAGGAGGAGTCAGAGGAGCAGGAGGAGAAGGAGGAGAAGGAGGAGGAGGAGGAGGAGGGAAGGGAGGAGGGAGGAGGGAGGGGAGGGAGGAGGAGGAGGAGGAGGAGGAGGAGAGGGGAGGAGAAGGAGGAGGAAGGAAGAGGGAGGAGGGACGAGAAGGAGGAGGAGGAGTAGGAAGACGAGGAGGAGGAGGAGGAGGAGGAGGAGGAGGAGGAGGAGGAGGAGGAGGAGGAGGAGGGAGGAGGGAGGAGGTAGGAACGAAGGAGGGAGGAGGAGGAGGACGAGGAGGAGGAGGAGGAGGAGAAAGAAGGAAGAGGGGGAGGACGGACGAGGAGGAGAGAGGAGGAGGAGGAGGAGGAGGAGGGAGGAGGCAGGAGAGGAGCAGGAGGAGGAGGAGGAGGAGGAGGAGGAGGAGAAGGAGGACGAGGAGGAGAGGAGGAGGAGGAGGGAGAGGAGGAGGAGGAGGTGGAGGAGGAAAGGAGGAGGAGGAGGAGGAGGAGGAGGAGGAGGAGGAGGAGGAGGAAGATGGGGAGTAGAGGAGGAGGAGGAGGAGGAGGAGGAGGAGGAGGGAGGAGGAGGAAGAGGAGGGGGGGGGAAGAGGAAGGGGAGATGGAGAGGGAGAGGAGGAGGAGGGTAGAAGAGGAAGGAGGAGGAGGAGGAGGAGGAGGAGGGAGGAGGATAATGAGGAAGAGGAGGAGCGGACGAGGAGAAGGGGAGGAGGAGGGAGGAGGAGGAGGAGGAGGAGGAGGAGGAGGAGGAGGAGGAGAGGAGGAGGAGGAGGAGGAGGAGGAGGGGGAGGAGGAGGAGGAGGAGGAGGAGGAGGGAGGAGGAGGAGGTGGAGGAGGAGGAGGGGGAGGAGGGAGGAGGAGGATGAGGAGGAGGAGCAGGAGGAGGAGGAAGAGGGAGGAGAAGGAGGAGGAGGAGGAGAAGGAGGAGGAAGAGGAGGAGAAGAAGGAGGAGGAGGAGGAGGGAGGAGGAGGCGGAGGAGGTGCTCGCCCGCCTGCGCTGGCACGACCCATGTGCGTCGAGCCGCCGCGGCCGCGCCCAGGGCCCGGCGAGCGGCGCGGCGCCTGTGCCCGGCCGCATCCCCTGGGGCTGGCCGTGGGGGGATGGGGGCGGGACTGGCCCCCGCTCTGCGGCCCCCGGCCGCGGCGGCCTGAGCCGGAACGGCCCCCGGAGGAGGTCGTCCCAAAGATCTGCGGCTCCGGACGGGGTCGGAGCGGCCGGTCTGGGGGCCGGTGTCGGCCCCTGGGGGCTCTCGGCGGGCCCCAAGACCGTCAGACAGCGAGTCGGGACGAATCGCAGGCCCCGGGGAAGTCGGTCAGACCTCGGGGGGCCCACGCTGCGCACAAGTCCGAGCACCGGAGGGCTGGGGTGGGAAGCAGGTCGCGGATGGAAAGGGTCGAGGGAGGCGGGTCCAGGAACGCAGGCTCCCGGCAAGGGCTCCGGCCCAGGAGTCGCTGCATGTTGGCGGCGCCAGGGCCCTGCACCATGAGAGACTGTTCTTCCCAACCCTGCTTGGTTGGGCATTCGTGTGAAATAGAGCACTGTCGTCGCGTCTTCTCCTCCTCCGCCTCCCGCCTCCCTCTTGTCTCCTATTGACTTGTGCGTAAGTGTTGTGTGCATCTTGCTTGCGGTACCTATTGTGTGCATTTTGCCTGAGGGGCTGCGATCTGCAAAACTGAAACTGTCGCCACTTTCGAGGGCTGCTGGGCGGGGCCAGCATAGTGGGTACCCCCGCGGATCCAAATTAGACCTCGCCATCCCTGGGGGGGCTGCGGTGTGCGAAACTGTCGCCACTTTCGAGGGCTGCTGGGGGGGGCAGCCTAGTGGGTAGCCGCCGCAGATCCAAATTTAATCTCACCATACCGGGGGGGCTGCGATTTGCGAAACTGCCGCCACTTTCGAGTGCTGCTGGGGGGGGGGGCAGCATAGTGGGCACCCGCCGCGGATCCAAATTAGACCTCGCCATCCCTGGGGGGCTGCGATCTGCGAACTGTCGCCACTTTCGAAAGCTGTTGGGGGCGACATCATAGTGGGTAGCCGCCGCTGACCCAAATTAGACCTCGCCATCCCTGGGGGGCTGCGATTTGAGAAACCGTCGTCACTTCCGAAGGCTGCCTGCAGGGTCAGCATAACGGGTACCTGCCCCGGATCCACAGTAGACCTCGCCATCCCTGGGGGGCTGCGATGTGCTAAACTGTCGCCACTTTCGAGAGCTGCTGGGAGGGGCCAACACAATGGGTACCCGCCGCAGATCCAACTTAGACCTCGCCATCCCTGGGGGGCTGCAATCTGCGAAACTGTCGCCACTTTCGAGGGCTGCTGGGGGGGGGGGGCAGCAGAATGGGTACCCGCGACATCCCTGGGGGGCTGCGATTTGCGAAACTGTCGCCACTTTCGAGGGCTGCTGGGGGGGCAACATAGTGGATGGCCGCCGCCGCAGATCCAAATTAGACCTCGCCATACCTGGGGCGCTGCGATTTGCCAAACTATCCCCACTTTCGGGGGCAGCACAGTGGGTGGTTGCCGCCGCAGATTCACATTCGACCTCGCCATCCCTGCGGGGCTGCGATTTGTGAAACTGTCGCCACGTTCGAGGGCTGATCGGGAGGCCAGCGCAGTGGGTCGCCACCGCAAATCCAACTTAGACATCGCCGTCCCGGGGGGGCTGCGCTCTGAGAAACCGTCCCCACTTTCGAGGGCGGCTGGGGGGGGGGACAACAAAGTGGGCAACCGCCGCGGATCGAAAGTAGACCTCGCCATCCCTGGGGGGCTGCGATGTGCGAAACTGCCGCCACTTTTGAGGGCCGCTGGGGGGACAGCGAAGTGGGCAGCCGCCGCGGACCCAAATTAGACATCGCCATCCCTGGGGGGCTGCGATTTGAGAAACTTTCGCCACTTCCGAAGGCTGCTGGGAGGGCCTGCATAATGGGTACCTGCCGCAGATCCACAGTAGACCTCGCCATCCCTTGGGGGCTGCGATCTGCAAGACTGTCGCCAATTTCGAGGGCTGCTTGGGGGAGCAACATAGTAGGCGGTAACCGCCGCAGACAGCTTCGAAAATCGCAGCTCCCCAGAGACGGCGAGGTGTAATTTGGGTCCGCGGAGGTTACCCACTATGCTGGCCCCCCCAAGCAGTCCTCGAAAGTGGCGACAGTTTCCCAAATTGCAGCGCACCAGGGACGGCGAGGTCTATGTTGGGTCCACGGCGGCAACCCACTATGTTGTCCCCCCCCCCCAACAGCCCTCGAAAGTGGCGACAGTTTGGCAAATCGCAGCCCCCGAGGGATGTCGAGGTCTAATTTGGGCCCGCGGCTGCTACTAAAAATGCTGCCCCCCCCCAACAGCCCTCGAATGTGGCGACAGTTTGGCAAATCGCAGCCCCCGAGGGATGTCGAGGTCTAATTTGGGCCCGCGGCTACTACTTAAAATGCTGTCCCCCCCCCTCCCAGCAGCCCTCGAAAGTGACGACAGTTTCCCAAATCGCAGCCCCCCAGGGATGTCGAGGTCTAAGTTGGGTCCGCGGCGGCTACCCATTATGTTGCCCCCCCCAGCAGCTCTCGAAAGTGGCGACGGTTTCGCAAATCGCAGCCCCCCAGGTATGGTGAGATTAAATTTGGATCCGCGGCGGCTACCCACTAGGCTGCCCCCCCAGCAGCCCTCGAAAGTGGCGATAGTTTGGCAAATCGCAGCCCCCCCAGGGATGTCGAGGTCTAAGTTGGGTCCGCGGCGGCTACCCACTATGCTGTCCGCCCAGCAGCCCTCGAAAGTGGCGACGGTTTCGCAAATCGCAACCCCCCAGGGATGGCGAGGTCTAATTTGGGTCCGCGGCGGCTACCCACGATGCTGGCCCCTCCGGCAGCTACCGAAAGTGGCGACAGTTTCCCAAATCGCCTCCCCCCAGGGATGGCAAGGTCTAAGTTGGGTCCGCGGCGGCTACCCACTATGCTGTCCCCCCAACAGCCCTCGAAAGTGGCGGCAGTTTCGCAAATCGCAGCCCCCCAAGGATTATGCAGTTTCACGCAACAAAATTGTATTATCTGGAATTTGGTGGTGCCTCGCTTTTCTATTGGATTATGTTTGAAATTCAACGCAGCACAAATATTTCTTCTGAATTCCAGAGGCGTTATACTTGACCCGCTCTCTGGCCAGCACTTTTTGTCAGTCGAAGTGCAACGCTGGCGATTTATCATGCGGGACCCTGCGCACACGCTGGATGACGCCAGCGCAGGAACAGAGACTGAAATCCACAACAAAAAGTCTGTCGAGGCGAGGGCTGGCTTTGGGCGGACAGAAAAAGGCTTGAGAGACAGTGTCCATGGCGATCGTCAACATTACCATTGACATTAGCATGACCCGCTCTCTGGCCAGCACTTTTTGTCAGTCGAAGTGCAACGCTGGCGATTTATCATGCGGGACCCTGCGCACACGCTGGATGACGCCAGCGCAGGAACAGAGACTGAAATCCCGTAATCACGCCATTCCTATGCAGTAAGCTGGCTAGCAAGACGATTCACAATTGGCTGAGCGTGGCCACAGCACGGCGATGGACTACATGAATGAGAACATCGCCGATGAACTTAAAAATCTCTGGGGGGTATGGCTCCGCAACCTTCGAGAGCCATTTACCCCCCATCTTCCCTCGGATGTGCACATGTTTACGACCAGTGAAAGAACAGAGCCCGCCGCGACCGTGGCAGCGCAGGTGCGGGGCTTCGACCGTGCCACAGTGCTGAAAAACTAGCTTGGCTCTCTTGCGCATGGGCCCTCCAGCAGCACAGAAATCCACATCGACCACGGAGCCGCGAGCGAGAGCTCGGCGCCGAGAAGGAAAACACCAGAGGATGGAGGTCTGTGGGTTCTCCTCGCCGCAGCAGATGCCCAAATCCCAGGCCAGTTGCTGGAGGCGGCCTCCAGAGTCAATGAGACTATTGGCCTCGCGCACCTGTGCGCGGTGGCTAGCAGACAGGTCAGGCAAGCCACGGTAATGCTCAGACGATCTCAGCGGCGGAGGCATGCGCCCTGATCTATCCGCGCGGGCACGAGTGGCGGTGATACACGGAGTCGCAAACCAGAGGGCCCACACCAGGCCTGCACGAAGCCAGCCAGCAATGGTGAGCACCACCTCGCGCCGGCCGAGGTCGAACTGCGGCCCCAGCAGCTTGTCGAAGGCTATGCAGGCGTAGCCCTTGCGGCGAAGGTATTTGCTCACAGGCGCAGTGCCAGCAAAGAGGTCAACGAAGACGCTGTGCTTCAGCATGGTAGCATCTGCCCGCGCCGCCCGCAGGCTGGCAGCAAGAGCCGGGCCAGCTCGCGCTCGCGGCGCTGCGCCTCCTCGCGGAGCTGCGCAGGGATGCGGTGCATCATCGAGGCCAGCCTGGCATGCTTCTCGTAGCGCCGCACGCTCTGGAACGAGCGCCAGCCGCCCCTCTTCTGCACGTCGAGAAGGGCCCGCGAGCGGGAGGACACGTCCTCCGAGGCCCCCCCGCGACGCAGGGAGTACGGCGTCAACTTCAGCTGCGCCAGGCCCAAGCCGAGGAGGCAGCTGTTCCAGGCCAGGAGGAAGTCGGTGTAGTGGAACAAAAAGAGCCGCTCCCGCTCCCCCCTGTTGGCCTTCAGAAGGCGCAGCGCCGACTCCAGCAGGCGGTGGCGCGGCAGGTCCAGGGCGACGCTGGTGTCGAACTCGTCGGTCTTGCCAAGCACGTCTAGCTCGCTCGCGCGGATCAGGATGGTCCAGAACTGGCAGGCCCCCCTCTCGTTCGGCACGGGCGGCACCAGCTGTAGGCCGACGAGGCTGAGCGCCTCGCTCGGCCGCATGTACGTCTCGAACGTCAGCAGCAGGAACAGCGCGTAGTCCGCCTTGCCGCCGGAGCAGAGTCGCAGGGCCATCAGCACAGCCAGCGACCGAGGGACTGGTGGGCGCGACAGCGGCTTCTCGAGCCGGCGCCACCCAGTGACCGCAGCAGTCGCCAGCGGCAAGCCCCGGCGCAGCGGGCGCGGCAGCTCGGGCAGCGCCCAGCGCACTGCGGCCAGCGTGCTGGAGGCATCCCCTTCGGGCAGCCCGCGGTCGTGCAGGAACTCCACGTACTGCTCCAGCAACAGGTCCCACGCGCTTGCAGGGAGGCGCTGAGGGGCACTGGGCACGTGCAGCCACGCCAGCAGCTTGCGCAGGGCGTTCAGGTAGTTGCTCTGCGTGGCCGTCGTCACGGCCGCGGCAGCCAGGGAGGTGATGTGGAACCCCAGCTCCTCCGCCTCCTCCGCACTGCGGGCGGCCGAGTGCAGCGATGAGCCCGGGCGCCGCCGCGCCGTCTCGCGGCGCCGCCTGCGCGCCGAGCCAGACTCCCCGCGGTAGGGGACCAGGCGGCCCGGCGCAGGGTGGCGGGTCAAGCCCAGGGGGCCAGCAGCAGCCAGCGCGCGGCAGGGCAGCCGGCCCGAGGCCGGCGCAGGCTGCAGAGGGGGCGGTCTGGCAGGGCAGGCGTGGCGGCGAGGCAGAGCAATGCCCTCTGGCCGCGGCCTCCCGAGCGCCACGCCGCCCCCCGTCTCCGGCGCCACCAAAGGGCGCAGCACCCGACTCGGGGCAGGCGGGGCCCGGCTCGGACTCAGGTTCGCCGCCGGTGCCAGCACCCTGCAGAGCAGCGGGCTCGGGCCCAGGGAGCCCCGCGGCGAAGGGCCCCGCAAAGGCCCGCCGCTTGGAGCGCCCCGCCGCGAGCTGCTCGCGAAGCCCAGCAGCGCCCGCTGGCCCGTGAAGCCGCGCCTCGGCGAGCGCGATCGGCTGGGTGAAGGGCGAGTCGCCACAATCATCCTCGAGCCGAGGCGGCGGCTGGTGGCTGCGTTCAACGTCCGCTGGGCAATCCGCTGAGGGGGCAAGTGCGGTGTGAAAGTGACGAGCATGATGAGACGAAGATGGGTCGTATCTCCTGCTGGGCTCGTCCGCCGAGTTCCACTCTGAGGGAATCCACCGAAACGAAACACGTGCTCCAAGGGCCAAGCACATGGCACAAAACTCGCGGCACCTCCGCAGCAGGTACCACGACGAGCTCCGCCCCTTGCACGCGGTGAGGACCCAGGCCATAGAGTCCGACAAAACTAAGTGCCGCTTCTGGGCGCTCAGGCGGCAGCGGGCCAGCCGCCGAACCTGCCACAAGGCCGCCTCCGCCTCGAGCGCAAGGATCTTGTCCTTGCGCCTCCAGCGGCGCGCGGCCACCACGCCCCAGTCGTCCCCGCGCGCCAGGGCCGGCGGCACCTCCTCGAAGGCGGAGCGCAGCCCCAGCGCACGCAGCTGCTCGGGCGAGGCGTCGACAATGTCGCTCAGCGAGGGCTCAGCCTCCTCACCCTCGACCAGGCAGCGCGGGCGGCGGGAGGTGCGCAGCGCCCCACGGTACCGTCCCCGCTCTGAGGCGCGGCCGACGCGGCCCACCTCAGCGGGGGGCCAGGCCTTCTCGGTGACGCCGAAGCCATGCAGCGAGGCGTCGACCGAGGCGACGGCGGGCGACCAGGGTAGGCTCATGTCGGCGACGGCGAGCGGCAGCAGCGCCCAGGCAGCTCGAAGCTCGCGCCGCACTGAGGCCCACACGCGCGCCGGCTGCCCGAAGTAGCGGTCGGCGAAGACGTACACGGCCGAAAAGATGGACAGCATCTCGGGCCGCAGCAGCATGATGGCCGAGGCGTGGCCGACGGCCCGGGCAATCAGGCGCCCTGTGCGGCGCTGACGGCCCCAGCCCAACGTGCGGAGGGCCAGCGCTACCTTCCTCGCCGTAGGCCGCCACTGCGTGCCCGTCGGGTCCAGCTCGAACCCGAGCAGCGGGGCGCCAGCAGGCTCTGGCGCGGCGTCCACTCCAGCGGCCGCCACGGCGCCCAGCATCTGCTCCAGGCGAGCGTTCGCCTCCGTGGGGCTCGTGCCAAGTGCCGCGAAGTTGTCGATGTAGATGAGAGAGGCCCCCGAGCCAGGGCAGACGGGCTCGCGAGACACGTACTGGGCCAACCAGCGGTCCGCCGGGGCACAGGGGCGAAGTATCTCCATCATGGCATGCTGTATGAAGTAGACCGCCCATGACCAGCCCATCGGCACCACTCTCAGGCGCAGGCGCACCAAGCCGTCCGGCGGTGGCGCCCCAACGAGCCGACGAGCGGCAAGCGGCAGTGCGGCCCAGGGCACAGGCGGTAGGCCAAAGGCCTCACGCAGGTGCACTGGCAGCAAGAACTGGTAGAAGCAGCACGTGACGTCGCCCTGCGCGACGAAGAGGCGCTCCCCCGCCTGCAGCTCGACGTTGCCGAGGGCCTGCGCCGCCGCCAGTGGGACGTAGTCGGGCTCCGCGAACTCGGTGTTGGAGGCCCTTGTGTCGAAGATCAGCCTGAGGGTCCCATCCTTCTTGTAGACGAAGAAGGGCGCCACCTGTGAAAACGAAGTGCCCACCTCGAGCATGTCACGCTCGAGAAGGTCAGCCAAAAACTTCCCATAAGTGCGAGGATTGCTTGCCAGCCTTCGGTCAAAAGCCAATTTCGCCAACGAAGAAGAAGATGTGGAGCCTCTCATCAGCAAAGTGCCAGACTCACCCATCAGCAGAGAACGTGGACCCTCTGGTAGTGCAGCAGCTAGCTCCACCGCGCCAGAGGCCACGCGCGGAAGAGAGACCTTCCCGCGCTGGTAGGAGGCGTACTTCCCGCTGGCCATATCATCGAAGCCATAGCCAGGATCGGAGCCGATCACGGCGCGAGTGGCCGAGTCGGCGGTCAGGTCCGACGGGCAGCTGGGCACGGTGGCATAGGAGCTGCGAAGCCGCTCCAGCGCGTCAGTCTGAGGCCCAGAGGCTGCTCCAGGCCGTCGAACAGCACCGCGCCCTCCCATCTCATTGAGGGTCTGCAGCCCAGCCGAGAACCATTCCAAGCCCAGCGCATCTCCTTGACGCAGCACAGGCGAGGTGGGCGCTGGCAGCGGCAGCAGGTCCCTGGGATCTGCCGCAAGACCTGGCGGCATAGCGGCGGCGCAAGCGCTCAGCCGCCTCCCCTGGTGGTGTAGAAGCGGCGCCCAGCCGGGGGGACTCCGGGGCCGCTGCAGGGTAGCACGGGTGGGTAAGGCGTCAGCCCTGCCCCCCCGAGCCAGCGCCCGGGGTGCCAGTCTGCCAGTCCTTGCCCTTCTTGTTGTCCTTGAGCTTCTTCTTGTGGTCGGCGCCGAGCGGCTGGCCAGCTCCGCCGCCGCCGCCGCCGCCGCCCGTGGCCGCCGCCGCCAGAGCCCGTTCCTCACGGCCCTTGCGGCGCTCCTTGAGCACGGCGGCCTGCTCCTCCATGCGCTTCGCCACCCAGCGCTCCAGCTCGGGCGAGATGAGGGCGCAGCCCTTGGCGCGGTCGCCGCCGAGGAACAAGTGCCTCTCAGCCGCGAGGCCCGCCGCCACCGATCCCTCCGTGGAGGCGCGGATGCGCTCCTGGTACCGCTCCTCCCAGAGCTGGTAGCGGCGGGCCATGCTCTCGAAGCAGGCCAGGTTGCAGATGTTGAGCTGGTCATACTGCAGCCCATGCTGGATGCACTCCGAGAGGAAGAGGTGCTCGTCGATCCCCGGGTCCGACGTGGTCGCCCCCAGCGCCTGTCTCCACCAGTGATGGCGGGGCACGGGGGCCATGCCGCTGTGGGCGAAGGCCTCGATGAGCCACTGCACCGTGCGCGGGCCCTCCACGGGCCAGGCGTCGTCCAGGACCTCCTCGCGCAGCAGGTGACGAGCTGACTCGAAGCTGCGCGTGCGCTCGCCGCGCACGTTGTACTCGACAGCCAGCGTGCGGAGGTCCTCCGCCGCGGCTGCCTCGCCCTCGCCAGCTGGCAACGGCGTCGGCGGGTCGCGGCAGAGGCGGTACCAGACTCCCTCCCGGCACAGCAGGGCCTGGCCCGCGACGCCGAATGCGAGGTCCGAATGGCGGATGGTGATGCTCTCCCCGCGTCGGCGGGGACCCTGGTTCTCGCCGACAAACCACTCGGAGCCCACGAGGCAGGCGTGCCCCACCAGCGCGCCGGGGTCATAGAAGCCTGGGTCGACGTCGGCGGCTGGCACCAGCGCGCCACGCGCGGGGGCGGACATCGCGCCAGCGTCAGCAAGGGGCGCGGGCTCCCGCCCTCCACCCTCGGCCGCCGGAGGCGCGCCAGCCCAGCCAGCCAGGTAGGCCTCGGCTCTCCGCCGGAAGGCGCTGCCGTGAGCGATGTCCCCCGGGCGGAAGGCGTAGCGGAAGATCTTCGGCCCGTAGAGCCGGCTCGGGATGCCGCCAGCCACACCACTAGGCAGAGCAGCCTCGTAGTCCTCCAGCAGCTCCTCATAGACGTCGCCGTCGGGCGTGAGCACCACGTGGCCCCCGACGGTGCGCCGCAGCACCAGGCGCTCGTGCCAGACCCCCTCCGACGCGTCGAACAGGGCCCAGAAGCGCCTCCCGGCGGCCACCGCGAGGTCATCTGCCATCAGGCGGACGGTGGAGCCCCACCCTCAAGCCGGCCGCGAGCCCCCGCCGGCAGCGTCAGCTGCTTGACCCCCTCCAGCCCTGCGGCCACCACGAGCGGCGACGCCGGCCTCGGTGGCGCCCACCAGCGGGCCGCGAACCAGCCCGTCACAAGCTGCCCCGCCGCGACGGCGAGCAGCTGGGCGGTGGACCAGCCAGGAGACCCGCAGTCGCACTGGCAACCGCAGATGGGCGCCGGCGGCGCGGAGCGGGCCAGCAGGCAGAATGAGCCGATGGAGAAGGCACAGGCGACTGCGGACGGGTCGACCGGCATCCTTGTCCGGACAGAAAAAGGCTTGAGAGACAGTGTCCATGGCGATCGTCAACATTACCATTGACATTAGCATTCTGTCTTTATTTTGGGGATTTGTTTCACCCCCCCGAAGAACAATTGTTTGACATGCTGGAACCCAGGGGCGTCTTAAGTGTTTCATGAATTTTGTTTGACAATTCGCACGGCGCAGTAGTTGCGTCTGGAACCGGAAGGCGTTCAATGTTCTTATGGTTTCTTTTTGGACATTCAACGCAACACAACGGTGCCCTTTGGAACCTGGATGCTTTCTTTCTTTCCATTTTCTTGACGGATCCCGTGCGGAATTCCATGCAACACAGCGTTTGTCCTAGGACTCCGCAAACGCCCCATTTTCCTGAGGGGGGCCCTTTTGACATTCAATGCAAAACGGAGGCGCTCCAAGCGCCTTATTGATTCCTTGCGATACGCAATACAACTTCCGTGCAACACAATTGTTTTCTGTGGAATTCGGAGGTGCTCCATTCTCTCAATGCGTCGTGTGCGATTTTCCGATATCCGTAAGGACTTCGCCCCTCCCTCTCTCAGAGAATGGGCCATGGAAGAGCGAAGTCATGAAGCTTTGGCTTCGCAGTGAAGCAGTGTCAGGACCTGTTTGCATTTCGACCCTGACCCCAAGGATCTGCATGAGGGGTGCCGCTGGAATTCAGAAATGTGGCAACTCCAATATGTTTTTGGACCCTGACACCGCCGATCTGCGTGAGGGGTGTCACCGAATTTCAGAAATGTCGCTAATCCCATATGTTTTTGGACCCTGACCCCGCCGATCTGCGTGAGGGGTGCCACCGAATTTCAGAAATGTCGGTCATCCCACATGTTTTTGGACCCTGACCCTGCCGATCTGCGTGAGGGGTGCCACGGGATTTCAGAAATGTCGCTAATCCCATATGTTTTTGGACCCTTACCCCGCCGCTCTGCGTGAGGGGGCGTCACCGGATTTCAGAAATGTGGGACATCCTATGTGTCTTTGGACCCTGACCCCGGCGATCTGCATGAAGGGTGCCGCCGAATTTCAAAAATATGACAAATCCCTTGTGCTTTTGGAACCTGACCCCGCCGATCTGCGTGAGGGGTGCCGCCAGATTTCAGAAATCTTGCAAATCCTTTGTGTTTTTGGACCCTGACCCTGCCGATCTGAGTGAGGGGCGCAACCGATTTTCAGAAATGTGACAAATCCCTGATCTGCGTGAGGGGCGCAACCGATTTCCAGAAATGTCGCAAAACCTGTGTTTTTGAACCCTGACCCCGCCGATCTGCGTGAAGGGCGTCACCGGATTTCAGAAATGCAGCAAATCCAATGAGTTTGTGGACCCTGACCCCGCCGATCTGCGTGAGGGGCGCCACCGACTTGTAGAACTGTGGCAAATCCCGTGTGTTTTTTGACCCTGACCCCGCCGATCTGCATGAGGGGTGTCAATTTTGACCCACCCCAGCAATTCATACAATACGATCCCGGCGTGGTAGAAATGCGCGTTTTGGCCCCCCCCCCCTTGCGCGGTCCATCAACAAGGAACAGTCAGCAGCAAAATGTCAACAAGGAGCAGTAAGCAGCAAGAAGCAGAACTGTAACAGTGGAAACTGGAAGCTGCAACTGGCACGGGAAACTGCGAACCTCCGGCCTCCAACCTGGTGGCCCCGCAAGGGGGCCGGCGGATGACGGGAAGCGCCCCTGGCGTGGACCGCTTGTGGGTGGTAAAAATTAATAATCGGGTACGCGCTGTACTTGGAACCTGCGCTGGCGGATGACGGGAAACGCCTTCGGCGTGGACCGTTTATTGGTGGTAAAAACTTCTTGCACCCGGCAAGTCGCTGGCGGATTCCGGAAACAAATTGCCAAAAATGGGCCCAAGAGGCACCCAAGACAGCCAAGTGAGATTCAAGACGGCCCAAGAGCGCTCCAAGACCGCCCTAGAGCGTTCGAAGATGCCCTAAGACGGCCTCAAGACGGTCCAAGCCAGCTCCAAGACGGCCCAAGAGGCCCTCAAGAGGCCTCGAAGACGCTTCAAGAGGCCTCCCAAGAGGGCCAAAAAGGCAAAAATCATTGATTCTCCAATGGTTATTGAAAATTCTTGGGGTGCTCGCCTTTTCGGTTTCCGGACGCTCCAAGATGGCCCGAGAGGCGCCCACGATCGCCCTAAGACGGCCCACGAGGGCCCCAAATTCGCCCGAAGACGGCCCAAGAGCCTTCCAAGACGGCCCCAAAACGGCCCAAGAGACCTCGAAGGCGACCCAAGAGGCCATCAATATGGCTCCAAGAAAGGGCCCAGACGAGGTACCCCCACGGACATTTCGGGTCCTGGGCCCCACGTGCCTCCCCGGAGTTCCCAAAACGCCCCCGAGAGGCCCCCAAGACGCCCCAAAAGTGCCCCCACAGGCCCTCAAGAGGCCCCCGAGACGCCCCCATGACGTCTCAAAACAGCCCCCAGAACAGTTCAAACGTGCTTCTAAGAGACCTCCGAAAGACCGACCACGACTTGCTCTGATGAAGCTTGGACCCAATCCAGAGATCGCCCCTCGCCGTGCTCCCAATCCCTCCTCATTATCCTACCTATCCTTCCTCCCTCTCCCACTGTGCTATGCGCGCTGATGTGTCAATTGCTGAACAAGACGTGGCGCCGTCAGGTGGTATGCACGGACAGGGCTCCGCGAGCTCTCTATTCTATTCCACTCAACTGCCCGCGGCAAATCCCGCCACCGTGCCAGGACAGCACATTGGATGGCGACGGTTCGAATGGTGATGGTGCTGACGATGATGATGATGGTGATGATGGTGGTCATGACGGTGGTGGTGATGATAACGATTGCGATGCCGACGACGACGACGATGATGAGGAGGAACGCTGTCACATGTCTTGCTCTTCGTTGTTTTGCTTCGCTACGTGTTATCATGGAGCTCACTCGGCCGTCTTAGGGCTGTCTGAAGCTCATGTGGGGCACTCTTGGGTGCCGTTTGGAGCCCTCTTGCGCGTTTTGGGTCTTCGTGGATCGTCTTGGGGCCGTCTTGGACCGACTTGGAGCCCTCTTCGCCGTGTGGCAGATCTCTTGGGGCCGTCGAGAAGCCCTCTCAGGCAATCTTGGGTCTCTCCGGAAGCCCTGTTCGGTGAGTTTCAAACCCTTGTGGGGCCGTCCTGACCCGTCCATCAGCCTTCTCGGGCCTTTATCAGGCAGTCTTTCACGCCTTTCTTCATGTCGGAGCTCTCTTGGGCCCTCTTGGTGCAATCTTGTACGCCTCCTGGGCCGTCTTGAGCTGACGGAAGTCCGGAGTCTCAGAATCCAAAAATCGATAACACAACTACGCACAACCCTTGGTTTTTGCCTCCTCGGGTTCCCTGGATACACCTCCTGGATACACCTCCCTCGAGCCCTCGTGAGCTGGCTTGGGGGCCTTTTTTCAGGTATCATGCGGCCATCTTCCTTCGGCTGTCATGGGACACTCTGCATCCACCGTCACTGCCACTCCCACAGATCGCACCTTTCATCCTATCGACATTTCGACACTCGCCGTTTGCAACGTGGAACCTTACGAACTACGTATGTTCACATTTTGATAGCCCTGCAACGAAGCCCTCGTCATCCGCCTCCTCCCGTCCTCGTCTCCCTGCATCCGTCGTTCGTCTTACCAACCTGGTACACAAAAGCGGCGCTTCCCGTTCTTGTCTGGTCAGGTTTGTTTGAAAAATGGCCGTCTCGCCCGAAACATCCTCCAAACATCGGCCCAAGAAGGGACTCCGCGTCGACGTCGCGTTCGAATCGCTATTGGAAGGCTTTCCAACGGCCCAAGGGAAGCCTCAAAGACGCACCATGACGCCCCAGGAGCGCCCAAGAGCGCCCCATGAAAACCCTAAGAGACCCCCGAGAGCCTGCGCCCCGCCGCGTCGCCGACGCCGCATCTGCGACTGCAGCGGCGGCGGCGACGCGGCGGAATGCAGGCAAGGAGGCAGAAGCAGCAGCGCAGCCACAGACAGGAACGACGGTGAGAGGAGAACGACGACAGAGCCGATGCAACCCGCGCGCGAGGAGAAGGAAAAGGGGCAGGCGCGCGACATCGCCTGGAAAATAACATTGGGCGAGGAAGGGGGTGCAGAGGACGGAAAAGGGGGCGATTCGAACTTGAATGGGGGCAACAGGGTGGCGGGGGAGACAGGGTGGCGGGGTAGAAAAAAAGTCACTGGAGGCGGGCCCCGGCCGCGCGAAGCGACAGGCCGACTCGCCGCTGCAAAAAGGCCACGGGCCACTCACGAGCGCGTTTCTTTAGGTTCGGCGATGACGGGCGTCATGGGGGGGAGGGGGGGGCGGGGGGGGGGTATGACGTAACGACCCCCCCCCGCCGTGTGGCTCCGGCACCACAGCCACGCCCGCGCGCACGACGCCAAGAGCGACGACGACGCGAGCAGCATGCAGGTGGCGATCTGCCCGCTGCGCTCGTGTACACCACAGCGCTCGTGTACACCACAGCGCTCACGTGCACCACAGCGCGCGTGTACACCGCAGCGCCCGCGTACATCGCAACAGCCGTGTGCAACGCACCGCCTGCGTATACCACAATACTTGGGAGCACTACAACGACGGTGTACATACACCGCAGCAACCATGTGCAACACAACGCCTGTGTACACCACGATGCTTTTGTGCTCCGCAGCGCCCGTGCACGCCGCAGCGCCTGTCTACACCGCAGCATCCGCGTGCAACGCAGCTTTGGTGTACACCGCAGTGCCTGCGTGCATCGGATGGGTAGAAGAAACATGTGGGTGAGGATCTGTTGCGAATAATTAAACGCCGCGCCACGAAAGGTTCGGATAACCGAATGCGACGTTATTCCCCCTACCTCTTCCTCCACTTCCACCTCCGCATCCTCCTCCTCCTCCTCACCCCCTGTCGCGCGGCCTGCACATCTCAGCGTGCACCGCAGAATGGTCGATCGGGTCGGACCACTTGGTCCTCGGACGGTCACTTTAACTGGAGCC